TGGACGTTGAGGCGTGCGTCAGGGGCTTGATTAGTCCCTCTGGGAAATTACTCGCCTGTAATAGGTTGTAAAGCCGGTTCCACCTGCACATCGTAACAAACCATGTCGAGCAGCTCGGCCTGTATTTCGTGTATTTCAATGTGACGCTTAATGACTAAGCCTCCACGCTGGCAGATCATTGCGTGATCCACTGTAAACAAGCTCCCACAAACGTATACTGATGGATTATTGGGTATAGACCAATCATATCGAAGCCTCACAGCGTCTCTAAATTCCCGCTTGTTGAGATCAAAATCCATGTCTTTAAGAGGAATAACTGTAAGCCAGTTGGATGCGCCTTTTCACAGGCCAGGTCTACGGTTCTCTGTGTCTTGTCTGGCAATAAGACCTTCACCTTCTCGAGCTTTTCTTTCAGTCTATCATCCTTTTCTTTCCGGGTGACGTATACCAGTCATTGTACCTCGGCCTTTTCTGGAGTCTCGTGGGGTTGCGCCTCTATTTTGCTTACGAGTGGAGCGCTAACCCTAACAGACGCTAAATAATCCGCATCCGCAGTATCAGATGGATTAATGAGCCCAAGGTCTCCCATACGCACCAGTAATGCTACCAGACTACGCCCTTCCTCAAAACAGTTGCGTTCTATGAGCGACGGTATAAGTACATCCGAGATTGCATGCTCTAAGGCTGTAGTAGTTTCTCAATATCGGCAGTGTTCTCATAAAGTACTTCAACTGGTGTCGAAGCCCAAATGTGAATGCGGCGTAAATAGCTTGTGGCTGAGATCTTGCAAACTCCGTCAACCTCGTCACTTCTTTCACCCACCCTTCTACCTTGCTACCCACATATTGCTCAGGATAAGACCGAGAGAGCCCAGCGCAGCGCAAGGTGTTTGTGTCCCTCGGTGGTGATGTTCATAGCAATCCCTACAAACATTTCCTTCGCGTGGCCTTCCTTATCCGGCTTAACAACAAACAAGCACTTCTTAGAGTTAGGATAGTATCTAAGGGTCGGACCAGCCTCCCTCAACTCATCCCACCATTGCTTAAACTGCTTAGCCTTAACCATTATTATTATTATTATTATTATTATTACCGTAATTATTATTATTATTATCATTACTATTATTATATTGTAGAGTAGTCTAAGATACTCTTCTAATCTTTACTTTTTTAGTCTATTTTGATGACGTATGCTTGTTATTTAGATAAGTGTTCAAAAATCTCAGAAGTCAAAAACACCAAGACACCCATGACAACCTGTTATTCCTATGCTCAACATGAAATTAATTGACAATAAATATTCACCCAGGAAACTAAATTTAAGTCAGAGGGGAATAGCTGAAAGGAAAGGGCTGAATTTAAGTTTATTATTGTACTCAAAACTTTATTATGAAATGTTAAAAAATCTGAATGTCTTTAATTTGTGACCAGTTGTAATTTTTGTGAGGTGAAGAATGCAAATTAATGGCTATGAAGTATCGGGAAACTAAGTTGAAGTGAGAGTTGATCTACAGATCTTATTAAAGTTATTTGTTTGATTATTTGAATCACCTAACATAATTTTTGTAGAGATGCTCGTAGCCTCCTCCTGGTCTTCGCTTACCTCTTATTTAAAAAGTAACGAAAACAACTCTGAAATCCACAGGCCCTGTGCTGACGCTTCCCGCGGCGCATGCGTAACACCGTAGATCTAATGTGTTTACGTCTCCACCCTGAAAGTCTAGTGGCAATAAACGCTAATAGGAAAGACTGATAAGCTGAGTGCATTGCAATGAGGATCTTAAAAGGCTTAAATGATATGTCGTAAATGTAGTCTGTAAAAGAGTTCATAAGTCTAATTTCGATGGTTTCTTTAGAATGCTAACCAAACAAATGTCAGAAGGCATTCGAAATGAACAACAAAGTACTTGAGAAACAACCAATCTTCGAGAACTAAAACCTAAACAAAACTCTCGGATGAGGACACTGAGCAAAGTCAAGGACGAACTTAAACACCACTAACCGTCGGTCAAGGGCACATCACACAGAATGTAAAATAAAAATGTGGTCTAACACAAGATTTGCAAAAGCATTTCAAGATAATGAAACGTGCCTGAACAATTCAAAACACTTAGTCAGAAAATTACTAATTTAAGGAGTTCCCCAACAGTTCTAATTTTAGTAGTTCATAGCATCTTGTTGAGTTGCTGTTTCTGGACGTTTTGTCGATGACGAAGACGTTCTTGATTCCACTTTATAGTTTGCGAGCGCTGGAGTCGTCCGCTGCAAGGTAGATGCAGAAGACTGAGCTGAATAACGTATACGTATGCGCTAGGTTTTGCCGCGGAAACATGAATTTTGAGTCATTCGCATGGTTAATTTCCTATTCTGATGCTTCGAGGCGTTGTTTTCCTTGCTGCTTTTCTTTTAGAGAACAACCTCCAAAAACTTGGTACACCCCCTAAAAATTTTCACAAATTAATTTTCTCCTTTAAACCTTTAAACCTTTTGTCGATGACGAAGACGTTCTTGATTCCACTTTATAGTTTGCGAGCGCTGGAGTCGTCCGCTGCAAGGTAGATGCAGAAGACAGAGCTGAATAACGTATACGCATGCGCTAGGTTTTGCCGCGGAAACATGAATTTTGAGTCATTCGCATGGTTAATTTCCTATTCTGTTTCTTCGAGGCGTCGTTTTCCTTGCTGCTTTTCTTTTAGAGAACAACCTCCAAAAACCTGGTACACCCCCTAAAAATTTTCACAAATTAATTTTCTCCTTTAAACCTTTGGAGATAGGAAAGTGCCTTCGACGAAAAAAGAGTTCCTCGGTTTTAAAGGTCAGCCCATATTATTTTCCGGTAATTTCGCTAAATTTTAGACCTAGGACACCTGAGCCCGCGTTGTCGACCGCATACCCGCTGACGTAGCATTCATTATTCAGCTCTGCCGATGCAGAATACAACAAATGGCAGATATTAGACCTGAGCCCGCGTAAAAGCGGTTTTGTCTAAAGATGTACGGAATCGAGGCACTTGGGCCAAAGGCTTTGTAAATTCTCAAAGGTATCGTTGTATATGTCAAAACAACTCGCATTTTATGCTATTTTTCTATTGTTATCGTTAATCTAAAGCATTCAAAAGGCAAAGATAGCAATGGTTAGACATTGCATTGCGTTTGGATGCAACAACCGGAGCGATAAACCACATTCCAAGCATCTTTCGTGGCATTCACTGCTACTGAGCATCATGAAACTTCTGGCGACTTGGCTTGTCAAGATCAAACGGGAAAACACGCCCGTAAGTAAAAATTCCTTTTAAGCAATGAAAATTTTGAAAAGGAATACTTTTCCAGTCATATGCTGGCCGGAAAGTTAGTCTTTAAGTCAGACTCAGTTCCGACAATATTCAGTTTCTCCGAGCAGAAAACCAAAGGAAGGCTCCAAAGGAAAGACGCTCGATTGAAGATGACATTCCGGCCAAGATGTTTGCAGTGTGGTTTATCGCCTCGGTTGTTGCATGCGAATGCAATACAATGTCTAACCATTGCTATCTTTGCCTTTTGAATGCTTCAGATTGTCGATAAAAGTAAAAAAAATCGCGTAAAATGCGAGTTGTTTTGAAATATACAGTGATACCTTTGAGAATTTTCAAAGCCTTTGGCCCAAGTGCCTCGATTCCGCGTATCTATAAACAAAACCGCTTTTTCGCGGGCTCAGATCTAATATCTGCCATTCCCTTTTTAAGCCGGTATCCCTGGTTTGGCAAATTTCATCCATGCTCCTGCAGTGGAAAACTAGGCTCTCCATGGGGTTGTAGTTACTCTTTCGGTTGCTGTTTGGAGAATTTTATACATGTGGCACAGTTTGCTGTCAGTTTCTTTATATCTCTTGATATACCTTGTCAAAATAGACAACCTACTGTTTTCAGAAGACATTTTTCTTTTTCCAAGTATCCTTGATGTAAGATTTGTAACATTTGCTGGCGGGGCTTACAGGAAATTGCTAGGCGGTGTCCCTTGAGGATATGGCTATTTTATTCTGTCATTCCAGAGCTTTCTCAAGTCTTGGGGGAATCCATTCGGGTATTCTCGTCACTCATGGTTTACCAAATCCTTTAAGTGGGCAAGTACACTGTCTTACATTCATTTGTACACCCTCGTATTTCTTCTGGTTTTTCAGAACTAGCTTTTAAAGTGCTTGTGATCATGTCAACTTCAAGCAATGGTGCTACCACGTTTTTGCATAAAAGTGTGAAGGCTGAGTTTAAATTATTACCTTATAGCTTGTGAATCAGAAGACATTGGTTTGGCCTCTGGTGGTACAATTCCAAGCAGCAGCTTCTCTGCCTCCTCGTATTTTGACCATAGGTATAAACCCTCTTTTGGTCGATTGAATGGAACTAATCGGGGTTGGGGACCCAAGACCAAGACCAATCTTGCTGACTTTCTACAGATTGACCTGCTGTATGAGTACGTTATTTGTGCTGTGGCTACCCAAGGAGCTAATGGTATAAGCGAGTGGACAACAAACTACAAGATTCAGTTATCAATGGATGGTATCACTGCTGTCACCTACCAAGAAACCAATGTTGACAAGGTCGGTATATATGAAGGTCATGCGCAGATACATTAACATATAAAAACATCCAAAAATATATGGGTCCTAGAACACTGATTCAATTTTTGAGTCAAGAGGAGGGACACAAAAGAAGTGTGTAGCTGGTCAAGACTCAGTCTCAATTAATTTTTTAAGTAAGTTGCAAAATGTGTCTGGAATGTACATTATTCGTTCCAGCAAAAGCACAAACCTATGTGCGTATACATATTATAGTGGTTAAATGTAATAACATAGTTCATTTTCAATACTATTTAAATGTTAATTAGCCCACGTCTTCTGGACTTACTGACCATCACTTCTTAAATTTACCCTTTGATTTACGGAACTGTTTAGAACAATACACAGGAGATATCAACTATAGTTATTACCCACACAGAAATACTAATCTTTGTGTGGTCATTGAAAAGGATGAGGAGTGTATCAACGGAACTGAGCATATATGTAGGAACACAATAATTTTTCTTTAGTCAACTTGATTGCCGTTTGTCCTTTATGGAAATGTCATGGACAATTCTGTTCCCCGTTAGGGTGTGATTGCAAAATGAAGTCTTCATACAATTTAGTGTTAAACTATTCCTTTAATTTCTAACTTTTAAGAAAAAAAGAAAACTGCCTGATTAATCAGGTCATATTATTTGTTTCGTCTTTCTTTCCACCAATGTCATTCTCAGTTAACGATTTTTTACAACCGATGGATTATGTTCGATAGTTTATTGTTGTTGTTTAAAAAAAAATGGAGTATGTAATCGAGAACAAAGAACACAGAAAACATTTTGCGAAAGTGTCTCTTATTTTTTGGTGTGTTGTCGAACCACCAGTTCTTTTATTATGATCTCTCACAAACTGCCTGTATCTCTCCCCAAGTTAGTTACCAGATATGATATGCAGGGTCACATACTGATCTGGGTTAGTTTTGTAAAAACTGAAACTAAGTCTTTCAATAGCATTAGCCATTACAGACATGGATTTAGCTGATGTGTAATAGTGGAAAATGATGCAGTAGAATAAAGAAAATTTTGATACAATAATTTCAAATTTGTACCACAAAAAATAGGTCTTTCCCGGGAACTCAAACCGAAATGGCATCGTTAAAAACAGTCTTCAGGAGTTTTCAAGTGGAAAGTTTATCCGCTTTCAACCAACAACATACCACAGTTGGAAGGTTCTGAGAGTAGAAGTTTATGGAGTACTTCTAACTAAAGGTATTTATTTAAAACTGAAATTAACATTGTCCAGATCAGTTAAAGAATTATTTGGTAGATCAAATGATCAGAAGTACGCAAAAAATCTCTAAAGGATACCACCTTATCAGATTTAGGGAGAACCATGTTATCAGCAATGCGACAGTCTTTGTTTAAATGTGCATCTGTGAAACACTGGAATGATCTCCCAAAAGAGTTAAGAGAACTCAGGTCCTTATTCTTCGTTCTTTCTCCGCATTTTATTCACCTCGACTTTGTCTCAGTCCATAACAATGTAAAAAAAGGAAAAAAAAACTCAGCAAAATCCAGCCATCTCGACCTCACGCTTGGTAAATAACGCAAATGCATTGATAGAGCCTTAGTAAGATGAGAATTTTTTTGAAATGATTAAAGAGCTCACCATAAGAGAATTTGACAATCAATAACTTTAATTCTCTTTGAGCCTTACCACATCTACTCTACTGAGATCCTTCAGGTTCTCCATTTGCTAAATGAAACAAAGTTGTACTTACTATATTTTTATTCATACTTGATATAATGCAGTGTGTGATGTGATTGTTTGCATTGCAAGTGCATTGAAGATTCTGGAAGCTAGAATGTTGCCATTGCAGCACAATTGCTTGCCCAACTATCCGTAGAGCACGTCTTCACGCCTAGGATATAAATAATGTATATCTAATGCAGATACACAGTCCCTACTTGTGATGTGATCCTCCACACTGCTCTTGGGAACATTTAATGCTTTCTTAGTTCACAAGGATGACTAATTCACTTTCACATCAATAATCAACAGAGAATAAAAACACATTACTGTTGTTCTTTAACATTTCAGTTCCCTCGCAACCTCCTACTGCCTTCAATTTGACTGCGAGCTCTTCTACCAGCATCACAGCTTCCTGGCAGTTACCACCAATCTTTGCCAGGCATGGAAGAAACATTACAGGGTTTAAACTGTTTTACAGAGAGAAGTTCTTTGCAAGGTGTTTTTCCTTCTTGAATATTACCAGTGGATCGACATTCAGCAGACTTGTGACTGGACTCGAAAAGTACACAGAATATGAATTTCAGGTCCTGGCATATACTTCCGATGGTGATGGACCGAAGAGCCCTGTTGAGGTGGAGAGAACACAGGGAGATGGTATGTGCTAGATGAAGGTGGAAGCGAAAAAAATGATCACAATTTTGAATGGAAGAAATTTCAGTGGACCTGCGAATGAAATTAAAGAAAGAAATGATCTCGTTTACAATTGAAGAAAGAAAGCTAGAAAAAGTTCAGGCTTCAAGAGAATTCAAAACCATGCCTCCTATAACTGGGCTATGAAGCCACACATTGAGAGCGAGGCAAGTTTTAGAGGCTTCTCTGTTGGGTCAACGTAAAATTCTTATTTGTTAATGGCTGCCCTGCT